CAGATGCCCAAAAGCTTTAAAGGCGGGTCATCATCTAAGACCCGCGTCAGGAAACATTTGTCCTGTTTCATGACGAACCTTACCTAACCTAACCTAACAGCCACACGTTATAATGGGGGAAAGGACCTGTGCCCCAGTTTTCATCTTCGTGGTCATACGACGAAACACAAGAAAAGTCTCTCTTACTGTCTGTAACACTCACGTTATCCTCTGATTATATAATTGTCTGTTAAGTATGATTTATGTTTTTTCCTAGTAAATTTTCTTCTCGTTGGCGGTGGTAGCTCATTACTCAGGAAACATTACAGTGTCGTTAGACGGCATGGGCCAGTAGGCCTGCCGCAGTGCTCCTCATTTCTTATGACACGGGTTCTGGTGTCTCGTACACTGGTGAAACATCCACTAGCTTACACCAGTTACATTTCACCCAACCAAAACCAAAGAATCATCACATGGAGGCCTATCCTAAGATGATAATGCCTACGAAATAATTCACTACACCACACAGAATGCTTAAGACGATAATACTACACACGGAGCACCATACATGTCAACACTATCACTCTGTCCTCCGCTGAGTACTTCCTGGTTCCTCCACCAACCCTGCCACGCCATTTTCATAAATTCTCTAATATTCGGCTCTGACTTAGCCGAAAACTGATTGAAAGTGCTGTTTTAGAGTTAAAAACTAATGTTTATAACTAATAGTTAGTTCTAATATAACCATTTTCTCCGCATTTTTTTTTTTGTTTTTGACTGGGATATTTGTCTTTACTACAGTTTTTAAATATCACTTTTTGTATGTTTTCTGACGAGTATATTCCTCTTGATGTGACTGCACTAATACATCAGTGTGGCGTCTGGCCCACTCTGCGCTATTCTGAGAAAAAACTTCGTCACTCCTTCAGTTGCAACGTTGCAACATTGCATAGCTCCTGATGACGCACTGAGAAGTGCGAAAGTACTTGAGCTAAATATTTCCACCCCCTGTGGCTTATCTTTCATATATATATATATATATATATATATATATATATATATATATATATATATATATATATATATATATAATATATATATAAAACAGCCTTATTAACTCTATTGAAGCCTAGAGGCTCTAAATCTAATAAATTAACCCCCCAAATACTACTCATACGTATAGAGCTATGGGTTTGCCCCAGCTTTAGTGTATACTGAATGGTAGCGTGATTTTTAAAGAATTAGTGGACGGAGGATGGAGCCTCAACCATTCATTGGGCTGAATGACCCACACTGATTTTTCACTTCATGTAAAAAAATATTTAATAATTTTACTAAATTAATTTTATTATTTTTATTGTTAATTTTATTAATTGTTATTATTAGTAGTAGTATTATAAACTAAACGAGTGCCAGTGTTTGCTTGATCCTTGAGATCTCTCTTAAGTATTCTAAACTCCAACCTTCTGTACCTCGATGCTCGCATGATGCTCAGTAGCTGTACTTAGTCTTCTTGAGACAGGAACTGCAGCTCAGCTCCCTCACGAGTATTAAGAGCTTTAAGTCAACCCCTCACACTCCATGAAGGAAAAAAACCGGAGATCAACCCCCTAAAAATGGCCAAAGAGCTTTACCTCAACAATTTCAAGAAGTCTTGTACCTGTACCTTAACACAGTCGAAAGACCTCGAGTATCGAAATTAATCTAAACGTCCTGAACGGTCACCAACCGTCACGGTAAACGCTCTTATATTTTCCATAAAACGGTAAAAGGAAATGTCTTAATGTGGATAACAAGCGTCATCCTGGATTCAACTCGGAGGGTGTTCCAGGAGTCAACGTTCTCGTGGCCCAGTCCTGACCAGGTGTCTTCGTTTTGAAAGCTGAAAGTGGAAAAGTCAGATTTTTATATATTCATCGTATTCGCAACTTTGTCACTACTAAGGCAAGGAATAAATCGATTTTTATGATAACTTAATTGTAATATTCAGGTGTGAATTACTATATTTCTTGCACAATAAAATCTGGGAATTTACTAGTCTCTGGATTGGTATATCTTATACGAAATCTTGGGTTGCTATAAAGCTGTGTATGTGGCAGTATTATACATGCTCGTACAAAAGTGAGAATGAATAGTTGTATTCTATTTAGAAAGTTTGGATTTTTATTCGAGTATGTATATGACAATTTGCCATTTATATTGCATAGAAATCGTGTTTTTCTATGAGATACAATACAAAAATAATGTCAAAAAAGATGGAAAATGTGCAGAGATTTGTAACCATACAAGTCCCAGTGCTCAGGTGTTAGAGATAATAGGATATACAAGAGGAGTAAAACGTGATGTCAGAGGAGAGAGGGATCAGGAAAAACATGATAAAGACGTACAAAATACAGAGGCATAGATATGGTGGACAAGGATATGTTGTTTGAAAGAAAGGAAACGGGTACAGGAAGGCACATATAAATTAGAAGTTAAAGAAAAGTCGTCGGTATGTCAGGAACTATTTTTTCGGCCTCAGAGTGGTTAAGATATAGAATGACTTGGAGAATGAAGTGATTAAGGCAGGATCTACGGATATTTAAGAATAGGTATAATAAGGCTCACATTATAATCACGAGGTAGCCCAAAATCCGTAGGATTATACAGCCCCTGTGGGAGGGGATGGATGGAAGGTATTCAGGCTTAATTCAAGGAACTGGAGCACAGATCCAATTCCCAAGATCAAGAGCCCCTCACCAGCGTCAAGGAACCTCCCCTGAGGGGAATAAGGCTCACAAAACAAGAAGAGAACGAACTTAGTAGCAGCCAGTTATAAGGCAAGATCAATAGCAGAGACTAGATTTGTGCAAGTGATCAATAGCAGAGACTAGATTTGTGCAAGTGATCAATAGCAGAGACTAGATTGTGCAAGTGATCAATAGCAGAGACTAGATTGTGCAAGTGATCAATAGCAGAGACTAGATTTGTGCAAGTGATCAATAGCAGAGACTAGATTTGTGCAAGTGATCAATAGCAGAGACTAGATTTGTGCAAGTGATCAATAGCAGACACTAGATTTGTGCAAGTGATCAATAGCAGAGGCTAGATTTGTGCAAGTGATCAATAGCAGAGACTAGATTTGTGCAAGTGATCAATAGCAGAGACTAGATTTGTGCAAGTGATCAATAGCAGAGACTAGATTTGTGCAAGTGATCAATAGCAGAGACTAGATTTGTGCAAGTAATCAATAGCAGAGACTAGATTTGTGCAAGTGATCAATAGCAGCGACTAGATTTGTGCAAGTGATCAATAGCAGAGACTAGATTTGTGCAAGTGATCAATAGCAGAGACTAGATTTATGCAAGTGATCAATAGCAGAGACTAGATTTGTGCAAGTGATCAATAGCAGAGACTAGATTTGTGCAAGTGATCAATAGCAGAGACTAGATTTGTGCAAGTGATCAATAGCAGAGACTAGATTTGTGCAAGTAATCAATAGCAGAGACTAGATTTGTGCAAGTGATCAATAGCAGAGACTAGATTTGTGCAAGTGATCAATACAGAGACTAGATTTGTGCAAGTGATCAATAGCAGAGACTAGATTTATGCAAGTGATCAATAGCAGAGACTAGATTTGTGCAAGTGATCAATAGCAGAGACTAGATTTGTGCAAGTGATCAATAGCAGAGACTAGATTTGTGCAAGTAATCAATAGCAGAGACTAGATTTGTGCAAGTGATCAATAGCAGCGACTAGATTTGTGCAAGTGATCAATAGCAGAGACTAGATTTGTGCAAGTACACATAGGTGAGTACACAATACTACACTGTTATGTATAGTATTGTGTACTCACCTATGTGCAAGTACACATAGGTGAGTACACAATGCTACACTATGTATAGTATTGTGTACTCACCTATGTGCAAGTACACATAACAGTGTAGTATTGTGTACTCACCTATGTGCAAGTACACATAACAGTGTAGTATTGTGTACTCACCTATGTGTACTTGCACATAGGTGAGTACACACTACTACACATAGCAATGTAGTATTGTGTACTCACTTATGTGCAAGTACACATAACAGTGTAGTATTGTGTACTCACCTATGGTACTTGCACATAGGTGAGTACACAATACTACACTGTTATGTATAGTATTGTGTACTCACCTATGTGCAAGTACACATAACAGTGTAGTATTGTGTACTCACCTATGTGTAAGTACACATAGGTGAGTACACAATACTACACATACCAGTGTCCAAAACAGTCAGGCTCTCAGGTCTAAAAAAAATATATCACATTTTTATTATAATAGGAAAACACGAATATCCCTCATGTATTCCAGTATATATTTCTACTATATATTCTGCTCAGTGTTTCCCTTAGTAAAAATATTTTTCAACAATCCTCTGAAAATTATTTTAATTATTCAAATGTGCAAACTTTTGTAAATTCAGAAAAAAAATAACAGAAGCTTCATACATTAGGATGCAAACATGTTTTGGTATTAGTTGCTTCTCTAAATTACCGTTGTCTCTAAATTACCGTTGTCTCTAAATTACCGTTGTCTCTAAATTACCGTTGTCTCTAAATTACCGTTGTCTCGACATTACCGTTGTCTCGACATTACCGTTGTCTCGACATTACCGTTATCTCGACATTACCATTATCTCGACATTACCATTATCTCGACATTACCATTATCTCGACATTACCATTATCTCGACATTACCATTATCTCGACATTACCATTATCTCGACATTACCATTATCTCGACATTACCATTATCTCGACATTACCATTATCTCGACATTACCATTATCTCGACATTACCATTATCTCGACATTATCATTATCTCGATATTATCATTATCTCTAGCATTACCTCTACCATTACCACTACCATTACCTCTACCATTACCTCTACCATTACCTCTACCATTACCTCTACCATTACCTCTACCATTACCTCTACCATTACCTCTACCATTACCTCTACCATTATAATCACTAAATTCCCATTGCCTCCAGAATTTCCTACGAGATCTGCTGAGGGAAGCAAAGAAGGACAATGATGTTTCTGAAGACAAACTCCTGGAGTACACCGACACCATGGTGAGTGAGACAGCTTCTTCACTCACTCTGGAGTGCGTGAGTCAGCCAGCTCCAGCAGAGATCCTCGGAGTCAGTCAGGCTCAAGCACCCGGTCCTGAGTCAGTGTATAGTTAACTACTCGTTAATGTTATTGCCTATGTATCCATTATATTGCTTGCTTAATATATTATCATTATCACAGTATTAATGTTATGTGTCCTTGTTATCACTTTATTAAGCATTTTCATTTCTTATTACCAGCCAAATATGAGACAGGATATAATAATAATAATAATAATAATAATAATAATAATAATAATAATAATAATAAAATAATAAAAATAAAAATAATAATAATAATAATAATAAAATAATAAAAAAAGAAAATAATAATAATAATAATAATAATAAAATATAAAATAAGAATAATAATAATAATAATAATAATAATAATAATAATAAAATAATAAAAATAATAAAATAATAATAATAATAATAATAATAATAATAATAATAAAATAAAAAAGAAAATAAATATAATAATAATAATAATAATAATAAATAATAAAATAGATAATATAATAATAATAATAAATAATAAATAAAAGTATAAATATACTACAAGTACATAATGAATACTTAGTTATACAGTAAACATTACAAATCAGCTGACTCAGTGACATCTATATAGAAAGCTACTTGTTATGCTGAACATTTCGGGCAAATTAGGTCAGTGACCCAGGATGCGACCCACACCAGTCGATTAACACTCGGGTACCCATTGTACTGATGAATGAACACAGACAACAGGTGTGAAGAAACACACCTGACTGGGAATCGAACCTAGACCCTCGCCGTGTGAAGCGAGAGCTTAAGCCACCAGGCCACTTATAGGTGTATACATCTCAGTGAATATACGATGAGAGTTTAAACCCTACTTTAGAGAGCAAATTATTTGTATCATGGGGAGCGCTAAACCCCACTGGGATTATACTGCAGGATTCTAAGGCATTCATATTCAGTTCAAGGAACTGCCTAGGTTTAAGGAACCTAGGCAGGTAATATTCGAGCATAATATATAAACACCTGCCTATGAAATATTCTAAGAATTAGGAACATCCATGGAACACATTCCTTTTTGATGCGTTTCTATGAATGTATAAAAGACACTATGAATGTGAATAAAACTCAACATTGTAGAGTTATTCATTAGTAATTTTTACACAAATGTGTGTTTTATTTGTGGACCCCCGGTTAACGATATTTTTTTCACTCCAGAAGTATTTTCAGGTGCCAGTACTGACCGAATTTGTTCCCATAAGGAATATTGTGAAGTAGATTAGTCCATTTCAGACCCCCAAACATACACGTACAAACGCACTTACATAAATACACTTACATAATTGGTCGCATTCGGAGGTAATCGTTATGCGGGGGTCCACTGTACTTTAAAAGTATATGGAACTATCTACTCTTGTTGTGTTAAATATATTCACTCTTTTTAACATTTGTCATAGAAATAAATAATTCACCATAGAGGCAAAACTATTATTATTATTATTATTATTATTATTATTATTCATAAGAGCGCTGAACTCAAGAAAATTGGAAGTAATCACGTTTGATCGGAATACAGAAAGGGTAGTTGAAGTTCCATGGATCAAGAGCCTTTCACCAATATCAAGGTCCCATCCACCCTCCTTGAAACAATAAAGGCAAATCTAAAATGAATCTTGCAGTTACTTAAAGAATTTGTGTGCAGCAATATCATAATTCCTTAAATTCTTAAATCCTTATATTACATTTACATTATTCCTTATATTACATTACATTAAATCCTTTTATTTACATTTACATTAAATTCCTTATATTTACATTTACATTAAATTCCTTATATTTACATTTACATTAAATTCCTTATATTTACATTTACATTAAATTCCTTATATTTACATTTACATTAAATTCCTTATATTTACATTTACATTAAATTCCTTATATTTACATTTACATTTAATTCCTTTATATTTACATTTACATTAAATTCCTTATATTTACATTTACATTAAATCCCTTATATTTACATTTACATTAAATTCCTTATTTACATGTCGCGTCTAGTAAAGAAACTCACTTCAATTATAGGAAACTTCATGTAGACAAAGTTTTGTTTATGTAAAAGTAATTTTCAAGTTATGTTTACATTTGGTAATTTGTTTACATTGTACCTCACTCACCCAAGTTTAACTTCCACAAGTCATATTTGGTTTAGAAAAACATGTAAGTAAACAGTAGGACATATTAGAAAACGCTTCGGTCACGGAAGCTTGATCACTTCTTGAGACGTGATCAAGGTCCCAGGACCGAAACGTTTCTAACAAATGTGTTCTAGTGTTTGTTTACGTGTGTTTGTAAACCATCTTGTCGGTATTTATTACCAAGGTTTATACCACAAGTCATGTTTATATTTGACGCCATGTTAACATTGTACCTCACCCAAGTTTAACATCCACAAGTCATGTTTACATTTGACGCCATGTTAACATTGTACCTCACTCACCCAAGTTTAACATCCACAAGTCATGTTTACATTTGACGCCATGTTAACATTGTACCTCACTCACCCAAGTTTAACATCCACAAGTCATGTTTACATTTGACGCCATGTTAACATTGTACCTCACCCAAATTTGACATCCACGTTTGACGCCATGTTAACATTGTACCTCCCCAAGTTTAACATCAACAAGTCATGTTTACACTTGACGCCATGTTAACACTGTACCTCACCCAAGTTTAACATCCACAGCTTCAAGTCTTCGACCAGAACAAGGACGGTAAACTGCAACTCTCGGAGATGGCCAAGTGAGTCTTATTTGAGAACTCCAGATTTTGGGCCAGGACGGTATAGCGAGTACCAGTGAGGAAGGAGTGGAGAGAGGAGGAAGGGATGGAAGGGGGGAGGGGCGATAGATGGAGGGTTGGGAAAGAATTGATGGAAACACAAGAGAGCTGGGAGGAAATGAAGGACGGGAAGGGTGGAAGGATGGTAAGGGAGAAGGGATGAGAAGGAATAAGAGGGGAAGTTGTAGAGAAGGAAGGAGTGATAAAGATAGGTGGGGAAATGTGGAATAGAAAAGGTGGAGGGATGGGAAGTGAAGGGAAGATATATGGCAAGATATTCCTCTCAACTACTCCGCCTCACTTGCTCCTCTCTACTACTGAAATATGTAATTCCTCTTTACTGCCTCGCCACAATATTCCTCTTTACTACCCAATCACAATATGCTCTCCTTCACCTCATTAGGTTTACGGCCTCACATCAATGCTCTTCTTTACTGCCTTAATATAATATTCCTCTTTACTGACCATCTCAGTATTCATTAGTCCCTCACAACTAAACTCTTAACAGAAAAATTATAAAAATGAAGTTAAAACTTCACAGAAATAAGATACAGCTGTTGATCACGGGACTTTATTAAATAAAACGTTAATTAAAGAACTGAGAATCAGGGAATATGGAAGTAGATACTGACACACACACACACACACACACACACACACACACACACACACACACACACACACACTAAACTACAGACCAGTGTCACTGACATGTATAGTATGCAAAATCATGGAGAAGACTATCAGGAGAAGAGTGGTGGAACACCTAGAAAGGAATGATCTCATCAACAGCAGCCAACATGGTTTCAGGGACGGGAAATCCTGTGTCACAAACCTACTGGAGTTCTATGACATGGTGACAGCAGTAAGACAAGAGAGAGAGAGAGGGGTGGGTGGATTGCATTTTCTTGGACTGCAAGAAGGCGTTTGACACAGTTCTACACAAGAGATTGGTGCAAAAACTGGAGGACCAAGCAGGGATAACAGGGAAGGCACTACAATGGATCAGGGAATACTTGTCAGGAAGACAGCAGCAAGTCATGGTACGTGGCGAGGTGTCAGAGTGGGCACCTATGACCAGCGGGATCCCACAGGGGTCAGTCGTAAGACCAGTGCTGTTTCTGGTATTTGTGAACGACATGACGGAAGGAATACACTCTGAGGTGTCCCTGTTTGCAGATGACGTGAAGTTGATGAGAAGAATTCATTCGATCGAAGTCCAGGCAGAAATACAAAGGGATCTGGACAGGCTGCAGACCTGGTCCAGCAACTGGCTCCTGAAGTTCAACCCCACCAAGTGCAAAGTCATGAAGATTGGGGAAGGGCAAAGAAGACCGCAGACGGAGTACAGTCTAGGGCCCAGAAACTACAAACCTCACCCATCTTGGGGTGAGTATAACACCAGGCACATCTCCTGAAGAGCACGTCAACCAAATAACGGCTGCAGCATATGGGCGCCTAGCAAACCTCAGAACAGCATTCCGACATCTTAATAAGGAATCGTTCAGGACCCTGTACACCATGTACGTTAGGCCCATATTGGAGTATGCGGCACCATTTTGGAACCCACACCTAGCCAAGCACGTAAAGAAACTAGAGAAAGTGCAAAGGTTTGCAACAAGACTAGTCCCAGAGCTAAGAGGTATGTCCTACGAGGAGAGGTTAAGGAAAATCAACCTGACGACACTGGAGGACAGGAGAGATAGGGGAGGACATGATAACGACATACAAAATAGTGAGAGGAATTGGCAAGGTGGACAAAGACAGGATGTTCCAGGGATTGGACACAGTAACAAGGGGACACAGTTGGAAGTTGAAGACACAGATGAATCACAGGGATGTTAGGAAGTATTTCTTTAGCCACAGAGTAGTCAGTAAGTGGAATAGTTTGGGAAGTGATGTAGTGGAGGCAGGATCCATACATAGGTTTAAGCAAAGGTATGATAAAGCTCACGGTTCAGGGAGAGTGACCTAGTAGCGATCAGTGAAGAGACGGGGCCAGAAGCTCGGACTCGACCCCTGCAGCCTCAACTAGGTGAGTAAAACTAGGTGAGTAAAACTAGGTGAGTATACACACACACACACACCACACCACACACACACACACACACACACACACACACACACACACACACAGGCTAGAAGAGCCCACATTAACAGTGCGTAACTGCTGATCATGTGAAACTTTGACTACAAGGAGAAAATTCCATGCCCCATCATCACAGGGATAGAGAGGATAGGATGAACCAGCACAGCTGGACCTTGTATTCACCCTGAGCTATTATGATGATGGGAATATTGAATACGGGAGGCTAGTTGGTGCTAATGATCACACAGTACTTAGTTTCGATCACTTCATGGAAAAACCTTGAAGGATGAGAGAAACAAAAGCCAAAAGAGGAAACAACACAGGCGTGAGGCAACTCCTGAATGAAGTGAACTGGGAAAGGAAACCGGAAGGCAAGACAGGGAATGAAATAATGGGGCATGTAGCTGGAAAATATTGGGAGGCAGAAAAGAAATTAATACGCAGGAACAAAGTTAAGATTAGAGAGCTTATACTTCACTTGGAAATCCAGAGAGGAAAAACAATACAAGCTTTAGAGCAAGAAAAACAGTGGGAAAGAATGCAGGAAAACAAGAAAGCGAGCAGAAGATGTACATACGAATATGCATATTTCAGAAGAGAAGCTCAACGATGTTTAGAGAATGATATAACATTTAAAACCAAATCAGAACCAAAGTTATCATACAGCGATATCAGGAGGAAGACAACAAACTGAAGAAGAAAGTAGAAGAGCTCACAAGAGATAACCAAGAAGTCTGTGAGGAGCTCAGCAAAAAACTAAAGGGATTTATTCTCGAAGGTAATCAGGCATAACAAGAAAGCCAGTTACGAGTATATATAGTACTGGACAACACTCACGACAGGAGGTGAGGAAGTTGCTGTACGAGCTAGATGCCTCGTATCTAGCCAAATTCTTCAACTCAATCACATAATGCAACTGACAGAGGTATGGAAGACAGCAAATATAGTCCCAGTATTGAAGAAAGCGAAGAGACAATTAGCATTAAAATATAGGCCGGTATAATGACATGCATACTTACGCTGGTGAAGATTATCTGAAGAGTGATGTAGCACCTGGAAGTGAGAGGTAAACAAGGACATGCACGGATTTACGGATGGTAAATCCTGTCTCACAAGTGTACTAGAGTTCTACGAAGTGAGGAGAGAGAGTGAGAGGTGGGTGGCTCGCGTGTTTTCAAACTACAAGAAGGCGTTTGGCACAATGCAGTACAAGAAACTAGAAGAGAAAATATAGGAGCAAGAAGAAACAACAACAAACTCTTAGCAGGAAGGAAATAACGAGAGTCAGAGAAAAAATGTCGGAATGGGCGAATATGATGAATGGGGTTCCATAAGGATCAGTAATGGTTCACACAGCCACACTACCTCACACAGCCACACTACCTCTCACAGCCACTGTGAGGGAAAAGTTCAACAGATAGGAGTAGCGAGCGAGTATATGGTAACGATAGTTTGATTGCCGGCTGCTTGTTAAGGTAGGGTAAGTCTAGCTCCCGCTATCCATCCCCTTCCCCCCCCCCACCCCGAAAGGTGACGTGTGGGGCTCCGGCCAAACAGTAATCACTCGACTCACAGCTCCCAGCACAACTGTAAGTAAAAGCCTCTGCTCCTATTCTAGTGGATATTGGTTGAGAGCTTCACTTTTGACCAATAATAAACTTAGTCCTTTCAGCCTTGATCTCTATGTTAGATGTTTTAATAATCACCACGTCTTTTAGGTATTGTACTTATCATGGAGAGTGATTTCTTAAGCAGTGGGTAACCTGTCTCTCTTTCCAGCTTGGAATGACAGATTGGGTCACCTGCCAACCAACGAGAAGTATGAGAAGTATTGAAGGAGACGGACTAACGTCCCGAGAAGTCACTCTTTACCTACCTGATTATATGTACGCCATCGCAGGACATAACCCCTCATCTTTGCAGTGGTAAAGAACCTGCGTTCCTGTCATCTGGACTGACTATTCAAGGCTATAGACTCTGTGAAGAACTAGTCGTTGGGTTGTCACCAACACCTGTGACCCCCCCCCCACACACACATCATCAACAACGGCTATATTCTATCCAAGACTGTGTCAACATCAACCAGACACCCAAGTTTAATTGGATATATTAGCGACGAATTCAGTTATTTATATTTTTCATTTTTCATTTTTCTTTAAAGTAGGATAAATACTTCATATTTAAGTATTTTATATTTTATACTTTCTAAATAATAAAGTGTTTATGTTTGTCAGTTTTTATTCTTTTTCTATTCATTAATTTTCCTGAGGAGGAGCCAGCCTTGGTAATACTGACTGAAGTTGTTACAGGGCTGAGTAAGCCTTCACACCACACTACCTCTCACAGCCACACCGCCACACACAGCCACACTGGCTCACACAGCCACAGTGGTTCACACAGCCACAGTGGCTCAAACAGCCACAGTGGCTCACACAGCCACACCGGCTCACACAGCCACACGGCTCACAGCACACGGCTCACACAGCCACACTGGCTCACACAGCCACACCGGCTCACACAGTCACACGGCTCACAGTCACACGGCTCACACAGTCCCCACCGGCTCACACAGCCACACCGGCTCACACAGCCACACTGGCTCACACAGTCACACCGGCTCACACAGCCACACCGGCTCACACAGCCACACCGGCTCACACAGCCACACCGGCTCACACAGCCACACCGGCTCACACAGCCACACCGGCTCACACAGCCACCGGCTCACACAGCCACACCGGATCACACAGCTACCGGCTCACCAGCCACACCGCTCACACAGCCACAGTGGTTCACGAAGCCTAATTTTGGTACCACCATCTCAAAGGCACTCCAACGCTTTGATATCTCCAGCAACCCCTTCCTCCTCATCATCCTCTTCTTCCTCTTCCTTTCGTAATCCTTCCTTCTCCTTTTCTTCCTCTTTCCTCTCCTCATTTTTTTATTTATTTTCCTCTTCTTCCAACTAGCTGTCTTGTTCATCCTCTTCTTTTTAAATACTTATTTTTAGTTACTTCTTCCTTCATTTACTGTTCGCTTTTCTCTTCCTCCTTATGCCTTTTTTGTTTCTTCCTTTTCATGTATTTCCTCTCGTCATCTCTATGATCTTTTCTCGCCTTTTCTCACTTCTAACATATTGTGCCTTATCGTTCTTCCATTATGTCCTCTCCTGTCTTCCTTATGAAATACTTGATGTTGTCATCCTCCAGCTGGAGTCTCCGAGCTCTGGCTGACTGATTTCAACACTATGTATGTCACATTATATTGTGGCAACGTTTAGCGAAACGTTGCCATAATGTTATATTAGTTGTACATGTGTCCTTTTACCTAACACACTCGGTAATTCTTCTTTCGTTGTGTTATCCTGTGTGGTGGAATGTGACGGGTGAAACATAGCTCTGTTCCACTATGTATGTAGCGGTATTGTAACTGGGTAGCGGTATACTGCTGATTTATCCAGTTTATTATAACAACGGTGTTTAGTGTCTAGAGCCTTCCGTTGTCTCCCACACTGTGGTCCCCTTCCATCTTCATGTTGTCAGTGTCTGGAGCCTTCCGCTCTCTCCCACACTGTCCTCCCCTCCCATCTTCACTGTTGACTGGAGCCTTCCCCCCTCTCTTCCACACTGTGCTCTCTTCCCACCTTCACTGTTGACAGTGTCTGGAGCCTTCGTCTCTCCCCTACACTGTCTACTTCTATCATCTCTGTTGATAGTGTAAATCCTTCCCCTCCCTGCCCCCCCCCTCACACTGTTTCGTCCTGACTTCACTGTTCAGAAAGTCTCAATCCTTCTCCTTTCCTCTTCCCTTCTCCGTCTTAACTGTTCAGTGTTTATCTTTCCCCTCTCCCCCACACTGTGATTTCCCTCCCGTCTTCAGTGTTCACAGTGACTAGTGTCAAACAAGTGTGACTGATCGCTCTAGTATCATGTTTAAATAAAGACATCCTGTCCTATTCATGTACACTCTCATTCTTTTATTCTTGGAATTGTTCAAAATATTTATATTCATGTGTACCTTATTAATAATTTTCATTTGCTGCTCTGTTTCATTGTGGCGTTGTCGTTTCCCTTACCTTTCCACCGCTGGTTAATTATTTGGTTTTCGTTTCTCTTGTTTCTGCTTCTTTTTCACTGTTTCATGTTTCTTGTCTTCTTGCCTTCATTTATCTTTAAAATTAATGATATATCAACTTCTCTATTTCTTCTCTGTATTTATTCCTCCAATTCCATCAATAAACTCCATCACTGTCACTAATTCGCGACTTCCTTGCAGATTGTTGCCAGTTAAAGAGAATTTCCTCTGCCGTTCAGTGTTAAAGGTGAGCCAGATACAACATTGTTACTCCTTGACAACACACACAATGTCCTGCCTGGTGCCCCTGGTAGACACAGGCTTGTAACTTCAAATTCCAAATTCGAAAAATCTATTTTGAAAACACAGAAACATGCAATTCTTTGAAAGATCATACAACATGTAAGGAATGTTTAGTGAGAATGGTGATAATTGTTCTCCTAGCTGGTATAGCATGACGCAGTGAGAATGGTGATAATTATGTTCTTCTAACTGGTATAGCATGACGCAGTGAGAATGATTATTATCTCTCCTAGCTGGTATAGCATGAGGCAGTGAGAATGGTGATAATTATGTTCTCCTAACTGGTATAGCATGACGCAGTGAGAATGGTGATTATCTTCTCCTAGCTGATATAGCATGACGCAGTGAGAATGATATATATCTCAGCTGTATGCATGACGCAGTGAGAATGGTGATATAACTATGTCTCCTCCTAGCTATATAGCATGAGCAGTGGAAATGGTGATTATAATCTCTCCTAGCTGGTATAGCATGAGGCAGCGAGAATGGTGATTATTATAATCTCTCCTAGCTGGTATAGCATGAGGCAGTGAGAATGGTGATATAACTATGCTCTCCTCCTAGCTAGTATAGCATGAGGCAGTGAGAATGGTGATTATAATCTCCTCCTAACTGGTATAGCATGAGGCAGTGAGAATGGTGATTATTATAATCTCCTCCTAGCTGGTATAGCATGAGGCAGTGAGAATGGTGATATAACTATGCTCTCCTCCTAGCTAGTATAGCATGAGGCAGTGAGAATGGTGATTATTATAATCTCCTTCTAGCTGGTATAGCATGAGACATTGAGAATGGTGATTATTATAATCTCCTCCTAGCTGGTATAGCATGAGGCAGTGAGAATGGTGATAATTATGTTCTAGTAGCTGGTATAGCATGACGCAGTATGTGGAAAGTCCGAATAATTATTCAGGATAAGATTTTGCTTACTTGCAAGGCCAACATAAATGCAAATAATTAGCTAGCAGAATGCTCTAGGAAAACTATAAATTTGAACATTTTATAGCTATTAATGAGTACGTAGAATGCTCTAACCATTTCTTAAAGGATGTATTCCGATTTATCAAAACGTCTACATTTTTTTATTTTTTAAGATTAAAAAATAGCCCCACGAGGAAGTTATTCGTTTACATTAGTTAAAGAAACCATAAAATGCTCTTATTATAAGTAAACCAAATACTGAGTTTGATAACAACACCACAATGTGATTCACTATAGCAAGCAAAACGGCCGTAAGTAATTTTTATTTGCATTGGATTTTCTTATTGAAATCTAATTGTTTTTTTTTCTGTTGATATGATTAAGTATTTTAATCTATATTTAAAATTCCCGAATAATAACAATATAACTGATTCTATCGGCTTAATGGAGGAATCGCCCGATACAGAGTTACCATAGCCTGGTTTTGGAGTTAAGATCGCGTGCTCAGAGATTGACGAGTTCCCTTCAAGGGCGGGAGGTCACTTTCTAAGCATTGGTTTGAGTAGCATTTCTACATTTTCCTTTTACCTCTTATTCACTGGTCTAAAAACCAGATATTTTTCGAATAGCAACGGGGATCTAATATCTCAGATCTTCTATTTGAAGTACATAAGGCCACGAATGGCTTACGGCGTATCGAGCCCTAGTACTGTGAAAGCTTGTTGCAAAGTTCCTCCATTCTTAAGAACATAAGAATAGAAAAACACTGCGGCAGGCCTACTGGCCCATGCAAAGCAAGTTCTTCTCAAAACCAACCTTTCCCCAAAGCTACCCAAGAATTTGCTTCATCAGTACTTCTGGTATTAATCAAAATCAGCCCTTCTTATGTAATCTGGCAGGTGTGGTGTCTGAAAGTGTCCCGGTGTGTTGTTTCTCCTACTCACTCTGGACAACACTGACGGTTTTGCTATAAGCATTGATCATGCATTTCTGGCAAAGTGTAGGTAAATGGTTCAGAGAACAGACAAGTTGTTAAATATGACTTATGTTTCACCACACAGTGAATTTATCAGTCCTATACAAGAGGAATGGAGATCAAAAGGTGCTATTTAATCAGTCCATGAATCTTGCAAGATAAATGGGTAGATGTACAAGTACAGACCTATACAGCAGTCTACCATTTTTCAAGTGATATATGATCCCTTGAGGACGGCTGGCAGGTGCACCTAGTGTGTTCGGTGGTAGACAGAGGTGCCCTCTCGGCTGATTACAGGATTTTAACTAGGCTTCTTTTGATGATCTCGTTGATTTAATTGTTGCTAAGTTGCCAACTTTTGGAATTTAAACAGTTACGACCATTCAGAACATACTAGTCAACTAAAATTTAGCATTAATACATTTGTACTCAGCGTGAATAGGAATAGCAAGGGAAACAGCTACCGCAATACGAATTGTCTGTGGGTCTAGACACGAGCCAATCGCAGAGAGAAATTGTTAGGACAAAGCCACCCGAGTGATGCATGTATACAATGTCTATTAATTCCCCATCGATTCCCTATAATGATGAAGCGAGAGATATTTTCCATTACATGCTACGTCACCCACGGGAACACTCGTGATCAGTGATTAATGAGAATAATTTCGCCCGATGACAAGCATGAAAGATTTTAGGACGAGAGAACACTATTATATTCAATATTTGAAGCTGGTTTTCTAAGCCCTTAGAGAAATAAAGTGAAGGGGGGTACGAAATTTTCAGCAGGAAGAAAACTGCTATTAGGTCAGGTGTGTCAGAGTTAAGTGATCAGTAATGGAAAGAAAAGAGGGAATATAAATGTACAATTTAAAAGATTATGTGGTTTAAAATGAAGGTCGAATGCGAGAAATGTGTTATGCACCTAGAGAAGAGAGGAGTGGAGAAAGAGATGCTAAATGAGTGTTTCATGAAGTTTTGAACTAAGTGAGAAAGTAACTGTTGTAGGGGAGCTAAATGCTGCTGTAGGAGAAATAGTTGTAGAGGATGCAGTAGGTAAGTTCGGGGTGCCAGAGGTAAATGATAATGGGAGTCATTACTTAAATGTTGTATAGAGAGATGCTTGGAAAAAGATAATAGGAAAAATATGTACACGAGTTATTATATAAGACGTAACGACATCGTGAGAAAAATGGGCTAGAGAGAGAATATGTAATAAAGAGTAAGCTGAAGAGATATGACGATTGAAGTGTGTAGCAGATGTTCGCGGATACAGGAGGGTGCGTGAGAGAGCAGCAGCAATTGGTGGAATGACAAGATAAAGAGTGGTAAGGGAGAAAAAGTTTGCATACAAGAGGCTTTAACAAAGCAGAAGTAGCCTAAGAAGAATGGAGTATATGGAGAGAAAAAGAGATTAAGAGAGTGGTAAGAAATGTAACAGGAGAGCAGATGAGAGAGTGGGTGAAGTTTTATCAGCAAATTTTGTTGAGAATAAGAACAAGTTTTGAAATGAGATTGTTGAGGAAACCTAAAATATAAAGATTTAACAGTTAAAAACAGAAGAAGGGAGTTACTGGATAAGGTATTGGAAAGATGGACAAAATAACTTTGAGCTGTTAAGTGTTAATGAGAGTGAGGCAGTGATATCATTTATTGGCCAGAGAGGTATAGGAGTGTCTAGGAGTGAGAAAGAGCCAGATATGTGGGAAAAGTGCGTGAGGCTGTGCGCAGAATGACAGGAAGTAAAGGAGCTGGGATTGATAAGATGAAGACAGAGATGTTAAAAGCAGGTGGGAATACAGCACTGGAGCGGTTGGTGAAGTTATTCAGTAAATGTATAAAAGGGGGAAGGTACCTAGGGACTGGCTGATCATGCATAGTTCCTTTGTATAGAGGAACGGGTTAAAAGGAATGTAAATATTATTGGGAAATAAGCCTGTTGAGTATATCAGGTACAGTGTATTGCAAGTTACTATTGACGTAGTTAAGGGTAAAAAGGACAGCAGATCGCAGATGAGCAAGGAGGCTTTGATCTAAATATTTTTCACTTATATGCTCCAGTGTAAACCAAGTGTTTACACTGAAGCATATAAGTGAAAAATATTTATTGTAATAAAGTTGGTAGAATTACCGACAATATGTAAAGTAAAAGGACACAAGTGCAAAATAATGTGACATTTATTGTAGCAACGTTTTGCGCATCAAGAGCTTGATAAAGCTCCTGAGGAGAGGAAACGTTGCGTACAATCAATGTCACATTAGTTGCACTTGTGTCCTTTTACTTTACGAAAAATATTTAAATAATGGCAAGGAAATTTACGTTGCATTTATCGATTTTGAAAAGTCATCTGACAGGGTGGAGAGGGGAGCAATGTCTCAGATGTTGAAAGTGAGTGGAATAGGTGCTACGTTACTGAAAGCAATTAAGAGTTTTTTTGAGGATGATGAGGCTCAGGTTTGTGTATGAAGGAGAAAGGGAGATTATTTCCCGGTAAAAGTAGGCCTTAGACAGGGATGCGTGATGTCACTATGGTTGTTTAACGTAGTCACAAATCGGGTTGTAAAATCCCATCAATAAACCAAGACTCCTTATAGAGCTACCAAGAGTCATTATAGAGCTACCAAGATTCATTATAGAGCAACCAAGACTCATTACAGAGGTACTACACAGGCTCATTATAAAGCTACCAATGATCATTATAAAGCTACCAAGGATCATAATAAAGTACAAGATCATATAAAGCTACCAGGATCATTATAAAGCTAACAAGGATCATTATAAAGTCTACCAAGGTCATTATAAAGTACCAACGATTATTATAATGCTACCAAGGATCATTGAAAGCTACCAAGATTATAAGTACCAAGGATCATTATAAAGCTACCAAGATCATTAAGTACAAGGATCATTATAAAGCTACAAGATCTTATAAAGCTACAAGGATCATTATAAAGCTACCAAGGATCATTATAAAGCTACCAAGGATCATTATAAAGCTACCAAGGATCATTATAAAGCTACCAAGGATCATTATAAAGCTACCAAGATC